GAACATCAGCCATGCAGGTGACGAAGCTGTCCATCCAGAGCACAGATCCAAAAGCTTCCTGGAGGGCTAAAACACCCTGCACACATCGCCCCAAAGCCAGGCACAAAATGCCTCGAGGCAGTCCTTCTGGTGGCCAGTTCTGGGCTCACTTCCACTCCCTCAGAGCCCACAATACAGGCCCCGAGCCCATTCCCCACCATCCCCTCTGTCCCTGATCTGCCTGGAGCTCCTCCGGGTGGCCTGGGTGTTGCCAGCCCCGCATGGAAGTGGCCCAGAGGAGTTCCCTGGCCGCTTGGCGCTGGCGCACAAGCATCTGGTCCTCTCCAAGAGCTTTTGTTTTGTAAAGTCTTCTTTATGTGTTTCCAATTAAATTGGATTCTGCTCAATGTGTCTAATTTCATTGACTTCTTCTTTTATCACTGTCAGTATTTTTTTTGGAGGGGGCGCTAATTACTTTCCCGGCCTCCATAAGCCAGCAGGCAGTTTCCCTGGAGGAGAAAAACTCAGAGGAAACTGAGGGCCTTTGCACATATTAATGTGGCTGATTGTATTTGGCAGTGTGAGCAGTGTGTGGGCTTCGAGAGTGCATGGAGAACAAGTTTGGCTTTCTGAGCAAAAGCAGGCAGTGGAGGAGAGTGGACGAGCCCCCGCCCCGGATTTGGCAAGAGCTTGATTCAGTTAGATTAATAGGTTAATTAATGCTATTTAGAAAATATGGACAGATTAGCCCGAGGCAGCTTACTTAGCAAACAAGTCTTTAGTTTTCAATTTATCTCTATCTTCTTCTTTCCTAACTCTGAAAAGCCTCTTACTTTGCCTTTCGTCCTGTCACTGAAGCCATGGCCTGGTTCAGGCCTCCCTATGCCCATCCTGGGCCGTCTTGTGCTCTTGGAGTTCTCCTCGTCCCGCTAGGTAACTGCCTCCTGGCCCCCTGCCTCTGACAACTACCGCCAAAGTACGGGTTCTTGGAAATAGACCAGACTGATCCTTCTGTCTGGGTGTTGTCCTGAACCCCAGGATACCACGGACAAAGGCCCCTGTCCCGGGTGAGCCTCCCGCCCCCAAGCCACAGCGACACACAATTCTCTGTTGCGGTCACACTCACAGGGGAGGGCAGTCCCCATGGTGGTCTGGCACTGCTATGGTCCCATAGCCAGACTACTTTTTTTCTTTTTTGGTACTGGAATTGAACTCAGGACCTGCACTTGCTAGGGGGGTGCAGTGCCCCTGAGCTGATGCCTGGTCCCCATAGCCAGATTCAATAAGGACTGTTGATAAGATTCAAATTTCAGAATAACTGCAAGTAATTTGGGGGATACAGGTTGAAGAAGGTATTGTGTGTTGTGTGCCTGATATTCCTGCTTACGCTGGCTTCCTGTGTTTCTTTCCTTTTTTTTTTTCAAAACTTTATTGATAAACAAATAGCAATGAAACAATTTCAAATCAAATTGGAAGTACAGTTTCAACAAATAATACACTGCATATATTCTTCTTAGTGGTTAATTGCTGTACAAGATGCGGAATTGAGATCCTATTTACAAACACCATCAGAACAAATCATTCTATTCATTAAGACAATGCAACTATATATCTATCCCAACCTCTTTGAATACACAGATACAAAATGGACATTCATTGGTATGCCCCATTTGTTCTAAGTTCCGTTATTGAAAATTATAGGTGTGTAAACTCAGCAAAATATTCTAGAAGAGTCCAGTAGCCCATAATAGCATTGGGTCTTCTGTTTAACTGGCAATGTCAGAAATTATTGACCCAAGTCCCCCACAGCTCAACTTAACAGCATGGCTTTACTTCCTATTTTCGTCTTCATACTTTTCTACTGGATGGTTAAGACCAAGGTAAAGCAGGACCTGTGCAATCCTGTGTTTCTTTTCGGTCAGTGTCGCAATCCTCCCCCATCCCTCTCGCCTTTTCTTTCCAGAACTTCTCCCTCTGCTCCAAGGGCCTGCTTCTGCTCTGGGTGGAAACTGTGACTGCAGCGCCTGCTACTGGCTGCTCCTCTTGGTGGTTTTGGCTGGTGGCATCCACTGGAGTAGAGGCTGCAAGAGGAAGAGGCCCCGGTCTGATCTCTTTGGAACAGGAAATGCAATCTGGGTTACAGCATCAGGTGGAGGGCGTTCCTGACTCTGGCCACGTCTTCCGGTTCTCTGTGCTGGTGCTGAGTCCTCGCCTGCCCCGCGTGTCCTGGGTGCTGGTGGGAAGGGTGGCCGCTGTGTGACAGGCCCGCCCCTCCCAGCCGCTGCACCCTGGGCTGCCGCTGGCGGCTGTGCATGCCCAGCAATGCTTCCCCTCCAAATCAGGGCTGGAGGGGCGTGATCGAGGTGGCGGTGGATAGCGGCAGCCCCCGAGTTCCATGACAGGGTGCCCTCCATGTGCTCCTGGAGTGGCTGGAGCCGAGCTGCTGTGCACGTGGACACGTGTGTACTTCTCTGTGTGTGGCACATGTGAGCCTGTGTGAGCACACATGGAGGAGGATCCGCTCCTGGAGTGATGACCCAAATACTGACATTTCCAAAATTTTATCAGTCTTTGGCTAACTTTTTCTTAAGTTGAATTGGAGCAGAGCTGAGCTTTGGTCTTCGGATTTCCTTGTGGGGCATCCAGTGCATGAGGACCCTGAACAGCTCCCTTCAGATCAGGCAAGGACACCTACTTTCACATCCATAATAGGAACCGTTTTTGCTTCCTGCTGATTCTGAAAACCACAGCTGTAATGCATTGGATGGATCTAGGTTTATTATAAAATGTCTGCAAAGTACTGACATTTATAAAGAAACAGGAAGGAAATCCAATTATCTCCACCCTTAGTAACCAGAACTAAAAATATCTTTCCCATTTTTTTCTTTTGTTTTGAGGTACCTTTCAGCACATAATTGGGCTCATACTGCGTCTATAAAATTTCCTCTATTTTAAAAAATAATGTCATCATATGCATTTACCCACATCTTTGAAAATAGCTGCTCAATATCTCAAGAAATGAAAGTCATAATTTCTCATATCTTCTTCCTACTTTGAAAGGTTAAATAATTTGCAGCCATATAGGTGTCACTGCCCCCGTCATTTTGTCATCTAGGCTTCCTAGGATTTAAATCCTATTTCCAAATCTGCAAGGCAAATCAGTAACAGGTGTCCAAATCCTGTCACTGACTTTCTTCTGTGGAGGTAATGCCTCTCACACTGCTGTCCCCAGTCGAGTGTGCCACCTGCCAGGCCTTTTAGCAGAAAGACTCTTTCTGCGGCTAGCAGGAGAGCAACACGGTGGTGAGCATTTCTAGAATGATCTCTGGGTGTGCTCAGTGGTATCTTCAGGTATGCATGTGGGTGGGGCTCCCGCTGTAACTGGCAGCTAAGGGAAATGAGGCGCTGGAGCTAGACAAAGCTCCTCGCTGTGTGAGGCGAGGGCTGTGCTGTGCCCTGGCTGTGACACCTTTGTGCTTCCGTGGGTAGCGAGAAAGAGGTCAGCCAGAGTGAGGCTTCCAGAGCCTTGAGCACTGGGTCCTTGGCCAGGCCTCGCTGTTAGGAAGGTAGAAATAACCACAGGACAGGCAAATCAAAGGTTGCAGAGCTGTGTGAATCAGTACAGTCAGGACCCTGGACAGTGCCCAAGACAGCATGCCTGTGGACTATCACCCTGAGGACCCTGATACCTGGGTCAAAGGAATGGGGCATGGCTAGCTCGGGTCTTCATGGACACCTGCCTGCAGTTGCTTGCTTGGCCTGCTCACACGTAAATGTCACGTTACTGGGGGGTGAAACACAGGTGTCGTTGTCTCACCATCCTGGACTGAGGATCCGAGGTGTCCACAGAGTGGGCTTCCCTCTGTGGCTTGTGACTGTCTTGCTCTCGTGTCCTCACACGGCCGGCCTAATCTGTCATGTTTGTGTTTGGACCCGCCCTTTCAGTTCATTATGTCTAACCACATCTGTCAAGACTGTCTTTCCAAATTCAGTCCCATTAGGAAAAAATGCTCAGGGTCAGGACTTCACCAGGTAAGCTTTGGGGAACGCAAGCCAGCCGATAGCTAGTGTTCAACCCTAGACCCGCAGACAGCTCTGCACCCTCCCCTGTGTTTCTAGAAGTAATGCGTCTGTGTTTTCCTTTAAGTATGTGATTATTTCTGAATATTCTGATTAGAAAGTGTAAGTGATTATATATACACATCTCCTCTGCTTGATGGCCAGAGTCATAAAATAATATTCATGTAGGTCTTTCCTGTTCCCATCACTTGTAGAATTCAGGCCTTTAGGTAAGTCACACTCATCAATCTTAACCTAGAATGGACACATTAAAGAAAATCGGGAAGCCTTAATAATTAAATCCCCTTTCATTTTGACATAGAATAAGGGCAAAATGACTTAAAATGGACTGAAATGAATTTAGAGAATACGTGTGAAGAATGTTGATGGGCTTTGTATGGAAATGTTAGTGTTATGAATTATTCTTCATTGCAGAAGTTTTAATTGATTGATCCTTTGATGCACTTGCTTCATGCTCTGCCTCTTCTCCAGCGATCTATGCAAACATCAAAGATAGGCAAGAAAGAGCCACATGGCAAGACAGGGTGGCACTGTGGGTGGCGCCGAGGCTTCGCTTGAGAATATTCAGCAGTTATTCAAGAAAGGTTATAGACTTCCACTCCCAGCATCTTGGGGGAATGAACGTGGGGTGCCAGGAGATGGCCAGACTCAGATCAGAGAGAGAGAGAGAGAGAGAGAGAGAGAGAGAGAGAGAGAGATTTGGGGCTCCCTCTCAGGGCTGATATGCTATTCCTAGGACTTTGCTGGTTTGCATATGGGATGCATGTTGAGAATGTTAACATTAAAGAGGCTGAATTCTCCATGGAGAGTGGAATTCTTATGTATCACAAATCTATACTAAACAAGGAGAGAAAGTTTTGAATTAATAGAAAATATTATAGAAGGCTCATCTCAGCAGAAAAACATAGTTGCACAGGTTTTAATTGTATCTTCTTGTTTAGGAGCTTTCGGTCTGCGGAAGCCATGGTATTTCCCCCTGACTGCGGCATACTGGAAGAGCTTGTGTGGCTTGGTGGAGAAGCGGTGGCGTTCTCGAGGTCCCAGTCTGTTCTTCCTCAATGAGGACTTGAGCCACAAAGGTTTGTGCAGGAGCAGCACGAGCACTGTTGAGTGCGTGGTGGCCCCCGCCCCCGCCCCC